ATTCAATAGCATTGCATATATTATTCCACACTATTAGCATTCATTTAGAGATTAAAATGGTCCTCGAAGGATCTTAAAGCGGAAGGCTTTTTCGTGGAATCGGGTGGCGAAATGGATACGGCATTTAATGATGTAAGGTGAGTTAAGCGCTTCTAAGGAGTTTAATAGTTATATGATGCGAAACCATTAAAGTAAGTCATTACTATTCTCTTAATTTATTTATCTATTTAAGAACATCCGGAGCCGACAGACCGAATATGCACATACTAGGGTCAATCGGGTCAACAGGGTTAAACCAACTTACTCCCCGACTTCTTCACTGCAAAAATAACCAGCCAATATAATCTCTGAATCACGATAAATATAGATTCCCCATAGTCCTACCACCAATCACCAGACTGCATTGAAGCGCCGCTACTGCAGATGGACGTGCTCATCCCAGGATGGGGGCCAATCACACCCCTAATCGGTTAAGCGCCCACCGTATAAGCAGGGTTGTCACACATCTTGACGGACCATGTACTCTGCTTGGTCTGTCGGGCTTATGCGCATATTCGGTGAGAATGGGGTATATCTCAGTCGACAGCCCCTGCTTTCGCGCTCTGTCTTTGTTTATAGCATACTTCATTTGTGAAAATGAGTGACAAGATGAATCAATTTCAGTTATTTCCACCTCCATCGCCCGAGGTAAAGAGGTCTAATAATCCATTTCGCAAAGCCGGTAAAAGACCAGTAGCCACATCTGAACCGGCCTCTTCAATCCCTCTTGAGGAAATCAAGGATTCCGGCAAGACTGAATCCTTGCTGCTTCGGATTATCGAAGACACACAGGATATTCCACCCCCACCACCCGGGAATGCTTCGAGAACCAAGTCCCCGCCGGCTACGGCGAAAGCAGCTCATGATACAAGATCTCCTCAGTCTATGCACAGTCAGAATCGTCAAGCGAAAAGAGAGAACCACCCGCCCTTGCCTTCACATGCTAGTCAAAGCAGCAGCAGTAGCAGTCATCACACTACAGGCTCAACTGTCTCCCCGCAGTCATCGCAATCGTCTGCTGCCTCAGTCCCGATGAGATCGATGTTCCCTCAGCTCGACCCAAAAGTACCTTTCAATCAGCAGGTATATCACGCACAGCTTCCAGATGCCCCACGACCTGTCAAGTCGTCTCGGAAACCTCCAAAGCTTACGCTGTCGACAAATACCGAGATTGACCATGTTCTCGGGCCAAAGACTGTGCCTGCGAGTGTCCTCAACTTCCCGACTGGGGCCTTGGAGTCCGAGGAGGTCACATACTCATCCATGGAGGAGCTGAAGATGTTATGGGAAACGGCCAATGGCCAGAGACCGCGAGACCTTGTTGGGACATTGAACCTACGCATGACAAAGTAAGATTTCACACCCTCCAAATATGTATGCTATTATATGCTAACATCTCGCAGAACGGGACCAGCTACATTCACTCTCGGAAACTGCCAGAACCCATTCTACACCCTACAAACATATTCAACAAACGAACTCGCCCTAAGCAGATGTGATCCCTCCAGACCAAACCACGACGTCCCAATCATGATGATGAGCCTCGAAGACCGCATACGCCGCGAGCATCCGAACGATGGACTCGTCACCCTACTGTTCTCCCGACTAGCAGCAATGTTAGCAATAGACCAAGCCGACGAGATAAGCAAGCAACACCACTTAACCCCTGCCGAGACCGCCGAAGTAGAAACCGATGCACTCAAACGGGCCGCAGCACAAGAGTCCTGTCGGCTTTCCTGGAACCGCCATCAACGACTATACGAGCTACGGCACCCCTATCTGTCGAAACACAACCCGCCCGCTCTTGTCGGCACCGCCGGGATTCCACTATCGCCCGTGCGATCCCAGTCTTCGGGAATGGTGCACATCACAGTCTCCGCTCCGTCGAGCGACGCTTCTCCTCGCCAGCCGCCAACGATCATCGTAACTAGACCGGTCTCTTCCACGGCAATGGAGGCCGCCCAGCAAGCTGCTAACTTACGCACGTCCGTACTCCCCGTCACAGACTTTGACGAGCCGCTTGCATCCTTGGATTTCGCTACGAAAACATTTTCGATTTCCCCGGCTGCGGTGATCGCTACGATTCCCTCTCTATACGCCATCGACTCTCTCATCGCTGCAATGCTGGCAGTCGCCGTCTCAGACGAAGCCACGAACCCGATCCTTGCAGACATGGTTCTCGGATCGCCGAAGTCGTCTAGACCGCCGACTTCCCACAACCCCGGCCCTTACTCAATGCCTGTGTTCCAGGGTAAATTGGTGACTACGGTTGCTGAACGCGAAGACGCGGCAGAGAGCATAAACCTGGCATCGCAGATTAAATCTGCGCAGAAGAAGTCCAAAGAGGCCTCGGGAAAGAAAAGTGCTTTCAAATTCTGGAATAGGTCATCTTCGAAGCCGCAGGGAAAAAGTCAACGCTCAAAGAAAAATAAAAATCAGCAGGTTGTGGTTGAGGAGTTTGATTTGGAAAAGTATGGTCGATATGGAAATAGTTCGTCACGGGAGGGGGAGAAGTTGCCTGGACTTACTCGCACTATCTTACGTATACTGTTCTTTGGCCTGGATTTGATTGTGAAAGGGTTGACGCTTGTTGTGAAGATTTTGGCTTGGTTGTTGGTCAAATCCACGCGATGTGTCACCAGCGAGAAGTTTTGAGCTGGGCTTGAATCTTCTTATTCTCTATGTCTGTTGGTCATTTTTGGATTTCCTTTTTATCTTGGATGGTTGGGAAGCGATGGGGTTAGCTTTTTTTGGATTTGTAGTTATACCCAATTTGATAGTTCTTCGCGGGCCGCGGCAATGATGAGTGAGGTATGAGTTACTTGATTTCTCTTTGATGACAGTGAAATATAAACATTCAATGGCAACATGGCTTTCTACATCCAAACTATGAAAGGAATGTGTGGCAGTTTCTTGGAATGCAGGTTGGTACCTTATTCTTTGAATGGAGATTTTGTTTTACAATTCGCAATTCTAGTGTTTGCCTTGTTCCTGTTATTATAGCAATATAAAGACTAGCAGCAAACTAACAAACCTAACAAAGAGCAAGAAAGCGGGTAGGTATCCTATTAACACTCATATATTTCCCTCGCACCAACACTCTCTCCTACCTTTCCTTTATTCCTTCATCGTTATATATGACATAAGTTCTAGACCTCAGGATCGCCCACAGAGTCCATAGCCCAACCCAACCCAGCCCACCAAATGGGCTGGGTTTTGGGCCTATGCCTCGGCCCATCGGTGGGTTATAGGCCCGGAGCATAGGCCCATAGAAATAATGGGGGCCTATGATTGGGGGCCCATTATGAACCAAACAATATAAACATGCCAATTTATCGTAGCTATATAATTAATGCATTTTTCCCTGGGTTTTTTAGGTATTCAAATTACCGCCTAAGCTATATATAAAGCTATATAGAAATCTCCTCTCTCTTCTAATTAGGGATATTGATAGAGAGAAACCTTAGAAGGTAAATTAGGAAATATAAATAAGAATTAAATTTGATTTTTATAAAACTTTAATTTCTATAAGATGTACTTATTTTTATTAGGGGTTTATATAGTAAATAGAGGTACCAAAAGTATTACTATAGAGAAAGCGATAATTATATCTATCCCCTCTGGTCTTTATGCGGATATTTAGTAATCCTTCTCGGGGCGAATTCGTGGTCTACGGGTCAAATTGGATCTTTTTGGAGTGATTTTATATAAGATTTTGTATGAAATCTAGTATCATGATGCTGAAATCAGTATAATACTTAATTCCTGCTTCTTACTATGATAATATAATAATACTGAATATATAGGTTGGTGTATGGGCTGGGGGCTTGGGCCCATTGATGGGCTATCCAGAGGTCTAGACATAACCACGACAGCTTACCTACCGTTATACACTTCATATTTCCATATCCACCACAGGCTCTAACACTCAGAGAGGTCTCACAATTCACAGACGCCATGCGGATTTTTGGGGCATATCAAACTGTAGAGGGGTATATGTAGCACCGTAAATGGGAACACTCGTCACTTCACAACTGAAGTCTATAACATCAATGTCCACATTATCCTTAGTATTAAAAGTAAACCATTTTCACATTCCCCTATCAGCTTCTCAAAGCCAGCAAGGTCTCCATAATCTACCTCATCTGTGACAAAAAAAGCTGAATCACCATCTGTCAACTTTGACAGTCAACTGATTCCTTGCCGCCGCCGCAACTCATCATCATCAACGTCAAGATATGCAAGCGCCCATCGCCCTCTGGACACTTTGATCAGCTGCTTCCATTCATCTCTAGTCTGCTGATATACACCAGGCATGTATGCTCACAAATATAGCGACCCCTTACCCAACCCTTGATATAAAAGTCAACTTACACTGATATTAACCAACATTTTAGTCCATCGAGGTCCTTCTCACAAAGTGGCTTTTAACACACCGTATCTTAACACTTCATGTGATTGATCTCGGGTATTGCCTATAAGAATCCCAGTGTCTTTCACTCGGACGTCAATCCCTCGGACGTCAATCACTCAGACCTGGTGACTTAGATGTGGTCCCTTAGGCGTCTATCACTTTGATATTCCTTGAAGTTGTTCCTTGACGTTGTTCCTTGATGTTGTTCCTTGATGTTGTTCCTTGACGTTGTTCCTTGACGTTTTTCTTTTTGACGTTATTGTTACTTGGACGTCTATCACACGGATTGTCTACCACTTGGGCGGTTCTCCATCGAGCCTCCTTCGCTTAAGAATTTACGTCCTCTTACCTATGCTCGGTTCAACCATTGAATCGGAAACCTCCGCCTTCGATCTCGCGCGCTCAAGTGATTCTGTTGTCCTATAAACCCTCTGTTCGCACTCGCTAACTTACCTATTTCAGCCTACGAACTTGCTCGCACGAGTAGCTCAACCGTTGGAGGGTTTCTCTCGCTTTGACGTTTCATCCTTCATCACGGACTTCCTACATGGCTTTCCGACCGGTGACACCACTAGAGCAGGCATCCCGTGTCTGGGAACTAGGAAATGTTCCTATTGTCCCCGGTTTCTACGAATCTGGTCCGAATGACGAGCTCGCTGGCAGAACCTTGCCTCAGATACAACTCGCATCCCCTGATTTCGATACCTCCAATCTCAGAACCCCATTTCCACCAGGGGTTGATCAATTGCGTCTACGCCTCAATTCCCCGTCACTGAAAAGACCCCCCCGAACTCCTGCCAGCATTCCCGTCGAAAAGACTACGTTCGCAAAGTCAGTTGGCCGGTTCATCAGCTTTGGATACCACATCTGACGACAGGATACCTTGGGATATTTGCGAGCTTATTTGGAATATGAGGACTCCTGTACTGAAATATCATCACCGGAAGATCGAGAATGGTTCATCTGGCTACAGTTGCTTGGCGAAGAAGGCGATTTTCAAGGAACTCGAACGTCGAGAGAAGGACGGAGGTCATTGAGAAAGCAATAGCAGGATGGAGTGGTCAGATCAGATGAACTACAACTGTCACTAGCATATTTTCCGGAAATATTCAGGTCATTCATACCCGGAGTTCTTTATTCTTAGTGATGCACTACTGTGATGGAATCGCGGCCACCAAGGCCAAAAGCTAGGATGTAAATGTCTATTCTAGCTAGAATGATGCCTAGCTAGGTATCGTGGGCACGCTATTTCTTCGACTTGTATCCTCCTTGAGTGTCTGTTGATTATTTAAAGCATGTTTGTTGTATGTTGCATTTTGGACAGATTTAACATTTTGGACAGATTTAAAGCACACGTCTGCACGATAGACATATGAATGATGCGAGTTATAGACGTACTTCCGTATTCGACGTACTCGACGTGTGGGTGGGTACTTTCGATCACTTGCAAGTATCACCATTGCCCTAAAGTCCATGTCTATTTCGATTTACATGAAGAAAAAATTCCTAACCCCCTCAACCCAGTAAATTCCCTGCCTTTTAACACAACGAAGATCCATGAAACAGAAAAATGAGACCATTTTCAATTCAACATTCCTCGGAGTATAAGGGACCCAGTGATACGCCAGGAAAGCCACAGGGACATGGAAACTGGCACATTCTTCCATCATTCCAGTACGATAAACAGAGGATTAAACGTACATGATCCTCGCAGGCGTCAGACCAGAAATGCAACCAGAAGCTTATTTCTTAGGACAAGCACGTATCTATATCGGGCAATATCCACCGTCAGGATTCCTGGACGTCATAAACCCCGTTAGCCCCCACCATTAAGGGATGAAGGGATGTGATATCAAGGCGAATGTTTACTGTGGAAATATCTGACAGGAGGGGTCTAATTGTATATAAAGCACTCAGTATCTCTCGACCCGGCCGGTGGTCTCTCTATAGCTCCGTTCTATTATATACTAGACTTCCCATAGTATCGCACTTTTCCAAGTCCGAAAACTTCCCAAGAACCATACATACAATATCCAAGATGCGTTACTTCATCACCGCCTCAGTCCTCGTTACCGGCGCTCTATCCCAATCAACCGACGACTACCTCAAATGCGCCGTAAGACCCCCAACCCCAACCTAATAAACCAAATAAACAAACTAACAAACTAAACCCCAGAGCGCCGCCATCGGCAGCATCGACCCATCAACCTTCACCACCTGCACCGACAAAACCTCGCAAGAATGCTTCTGCGCCAACAAATCCGCCCTTGAAACCCTAACAACCTCCACCGTCCCCGCCTGCGCAGGTCTCGACCTAAGCACCATCTCGTCAACCCTCTGCCCCAGCGAGCGCGAAGCCACACCCGCCCGCCACGCAAGCAAGCCCATGGAAATGGCCGATAAGCGCGCCTACGTACCCGAACCCGCTCCGCGCGTTGTCTACGTGACCAAGACCCGCTCCGACTGCAGCTGCAAGAGCACGCCTGTTGTCGAGAACCCACTGCACGTCTCGCAGATCTCAGTTGACGTCCCAGCGTCTAGTAGCTTGGCTTCTGTTGCTGCTGCTTCGTCGACACCGGCTGGTCGGGAGCATGGGTTGATGGGTGGTGCGGCTTCCTCGTCTGTTGCGTTTGGACCACAGGCTTCTGGGGCAACGCCTTCGGCTCGGCCTTCTGGTGTTGATCCTACTCGGTTCTCGCCTTTCCAGGGGGCCGCGGCTGTGGGGCCTTCTGTGAACGGGGGTGTTGCGGTGCTTGGGGTTGCGGCGGTTATGGCGGTTATGGTTGCTTTGTAAGTTGTCTGAAGGGGGACTTGTGTAAAGGGTTGATTGGGAGGGTGACTCTTGTTTTGTTTTGGCTTTGGGTTTAGTGTTTTATATTGGATTCTTTTTTTCTGTTTGGAGATTGGTATTTCAAATATTTTGAACTGGAGTTGTAATGATACATGAAACATTTCTGGCAATGTTATTGATCGTGAAATATCTGTAATTACTAATTAACGTGCGCCAATCTGTGCTGATCATTCATAAACATGGCGAAAAAAGCGAATACAGGTTCCGCCTATGGAGGTAGCGATTCAACCCTTGCAGTCGAACTTCAAGACCCTTGTCTTGCGACTCACTCTGGGAAGAAGCTTAAGCGTGGACTGCCTGCTGAACCTTAGGGTAAAGTTGCACCAGCTTGTAGTAGATATCCGGGTGGTCATTGATCATGACCTGAGGGTCCCAAGCCATAGCGACGAAAATAGTCTCAACACCACTACCAATGGGAGTCATGAAGACCTGGCAAACCTGCAGACCAATCAAGAAAGCGAAAGCCATGATGACGGCGGTGAAGTTACCATCCCTGTTGTAGGCAGGATTGGTGAACTGCAGATAGAGATAGGCCAACAGCGCACAGACATAGGCGACGAAAGTCGAGCCCATAGTCAACACCGGACCCATCAGACAATCTTGCACGAGAGCATCGATTCCTCGGTCGCGCATCATTTTCCACGTATCCTTGGCAGCAGGGATATAAGCCTTTCCATACAAGGCAATGTGGCAGAACGCGTAGCGGTTGAAAAGAGTAACAAGCCAGTCTAGAAGCGAGATGAAACATCCCAAGACCCAAATGGCAATACTACCAATCATGTTACCCTGACCAGCCTCGTGTCGCTGTGCGATCGAGCACGCCTGACGCAACATGTTGATGATGGCGATAATCAGACTGCCGAAACTGATACTGCCAAAGGAGTACGTAGTTGCGCGACGGAAGGCTCCTCGGGTCGAGCCCTTGGGCATGCCGCCGGCGGACTTGCTGAAGAAATACCACGAGCCGTAGACGCCCGCGACGGTGGTATGCACTGTGTTCTTGATCCACTCACTGACCCAGTACATAGCGAAGGTGGCGTAGACGACAAGACCGATGACCTTTGCTCTGCTGCAGCCGCCGTTCGCGCAGGATGGGTTGGTACCAGTGGAATCGGGCTCGTATGCTACGTAGATCGAGACCATAGTGACGGAGAACCAGGCGGCGAAAGCGACTGTGACGATTCCACCTATCGCGCTGACTAGGAAGATGTGTCCGTAGCCGCGAGCTACATCCATGGCGGTCTGTAGCATGAAGGCAGTAAAGGGGATACGAGGGATCCAACTGATGAAACAGATGATCGCGAAGACGCCAAAGAGGAGGAATACGATTCCACCACCATATTGCTTGCGCGCGATGTAGTAGATTCCGGTTGCGAGGGCGAAAACGATGTTGAGAATACAGGTCGCCCAGATGAATGTCTTGGTGAAGTGCCTTGCGCCCATGAAATAAAGGAAAGATAAAACTAGGGCGACGACGAGGACAAAGACGAATAGGACGAGGGTGTTGGTGTCAAGCGAGAAATCATTGGCCGAGTCGTAGATTCCTCCTCCATTGAAGCCTTTGTTGGTGGCATACTTGTGGATGGTAAGTCCTGACACGGCGGCATACCCGAGGAAGACAGCAATCAACTGTGTAACAAGTCAGTTTTGAAGGTGGTGCTCGGTGCGATAGCGGTGAAACTCACCAAAAGGCCTGCCCACAGATCATTCCACTTGGGCTTCTCGATCTTGAACGCCTGGTCAAAGCTGTATCCTGACTCTGGGACATTTTGGTGGTACTGCGGCGGTGGTTTGGCCTCAACTGGGGGTTGCTGATAGGTTGGCTGCTGGTAATTTGGCTGCGGGTAATTTGGCTGCGGGTATGGTGCAGGGGGATTATTTGGCTGTTGATAATTCCCATGTTGCTGGTCATAACCGTAGTTTGGCTGAGGTTGGCCCTGAGGCACCTCGTTATAATAGCTGGCTGCTTGTCCACTCATATTTGTGGGTGAAGCTCAAGACGAAAAGAGAAAAAGGAAAAAAGGAAAAACAGAAAGGGGAAAAGCATGGACACCGGACTTGACCCTGGTGACGACACGAACCAAACAGACGAGCGGAAATCTCGATCAAAATGAACCTAAACCTTGGAAGATCAACCAGCCCTAGAGATCGCCGATCCAAGACGCTAAAGAATCCACTAAAGACACTAGTAAAATTCAAAAGGATTCAGCTTGTGAATTTTTGTTTGACACTGGGCACAATTTTGAACTATTCTAATTCTGTTAATCCTATTCATACTGTTCAATTGAAACACTCCGAGCTCTTATTTAGTATATTATTTGACAAAGAGTTTAGATTTCATTCAGCATCAGAGCAAGGGTATCCATGGATTAACAAAAGTCCAAAAATGTAACTTGGACCTGCCCAAGGAATTGGATCCTCGGAAATTGGAGAGCGGGGGGGACTCCGACCAATCTCACGGCAAAACTCCCATCTTCTTCAAGAATTAGGTACCGTGGTTTATCAACTACGACCTCCCCCTTACACTCTTAAATAATAAATAATACTACTCTTTGTTATTTCGAATTCTTCTACTCTGTACAACCCTGTCAACTCTCAAACATTGAAGTTATATTTAGTCCTCCGCCTTTGAAATAGTGAAAGAGACAATTCCCACTAACCCAATATTCAGGATACCACCTACTAAGCTCCCACTCGATAATAGTCGAAATGAGCACCAGTCTTGACGACTACTTTAGGTGAGATTTTCACAGTACATAACACCCATAGCTGCAGATCAAGTTGCTCTGGTTTCCACTCAACTAACTCATCCACGGTTTCGAGGAAAACTCTGGGTGCCAAGTAGGGCACGTTCAACCGAGGCTTCGAGGTTGGAGATTGAGGTTTGGTTGACATGGTGGAGGCAATACTGTGGGTTCAATGCAGAGCATAATTAATTTCGGGTGAAAGCCGAGGGTGAAACGCAGGGAATTTGCCATCGTAGAACCCAAGAAAGGGATACAAAGGGCTCGAGCGACAAATCATAGTTTGCCGAGCGTTTGCTGTGTCATATTGGCCGATTATTACAGCCCTATAGGGAGAGTGGATAGCTTGAAATTTGAGAATGCCAAGTCGGTTGCCTGCTTGGCACAGAACTTGGATGTATTTGTGGTTTATATGTACACATGCAACAAAATAAATGCTTTAAAATGTTCGGTTCCCCCCCTTTTCGCCTTTCGAAGCCAAGACGCCTATAATGCTGGCAAAGAGCTGCCCTCGCTAAACCCCGCTTCACAAATATGATTACAGACATGGACGCCAGGATGATCATTCGCTTATCGAAATGCATGTTGTTTCAAGTGCCGCCAGGAACCCACGACCCGATGCTCGATGCCCGGAATCGGTGTGCGGCTTCGGCCAGTGAACTCATCCGTCTTGGAATGAAGCTGACCTTTGCCGAAGGCTACTGATCGTCGCAACTTCTCTTCGCGGATAGCCGTCCGGCGTTGAGCCCGAAGTTCTTCGATCCGACCTTGTCCGACGCGATGCCGACGTACAAAACATTCATCCATCAAGGTGTTTGCGTCCAACAGCTTTTTAGGGATGGTTTGGACTATCTGAAATGCTTCCATAGGGTCTGTTACGCCGAGGATGTCCTTTTCGCATGCTTTGAAGATTGCCAAAGACACGCGGAAGAAAGTCTTGGAGCCTTCGTAGAAGAAAACATCCCAAACTCGGAGCGTGGTTTCTAGAGGTAAACTTCCGATGAAAACCGACATGAGCCAGTTAGTCAGTCCCAGGGTTATGTCCGGCAGCCGAGAGTTCACTGTTAGGGGAGGCATTTTGCCCCGTCCGGACGGGGTCCCTCCCATGGCAGCGATCTTGGAATATATGCCCGGCATGGAGTCCCTGAGCAGGACCATGAGAATCCAGAGGTCAATGTTGGCACCTTCCAGGCTGATCTCATGGGTTCCAGGCAAGTAGTCTGCAGCAATGATATGCAGCATCCAGAATGCTTTTTCCTCGGGGAGGAAAAGAAGTAGCATCCCCGTGATGAAATTCAGAGACTGGGTATATCCGATTTTCGGGTTATGCAGCGCATAAGCATACAGAACTCGACGTAGGGATTGAATCATCTGCGTCTCTGTGGTGACATTAGAATAATTCGGATTACTGCTCCCCGAATCTTGCACTCGCTCGGTGACCTCCGGTTTGAAATGAAGATTGTCAGGGAATGTGCGATGCAGATCACGCTCAATGTGCTCCTTGTCGTCGTTACTTGGTGTGCTCATGGCCTCCCCAACAAGTTCATCATATTGGCCAAGATTCCGGTTCAAAAGCTCGTACCCGCCGGCATAATAGAACCAAGCCGCACCTCGGAATTCTGGGGGAATTCCTTTGCGAACAAATCGCTTGACCTTCGAAGACTGTGGCGGGAACTTTGTGGGCTCTGATGTGGGTAGCCCATGTTCCTTGAGTAATTCACACCATTTGGTTCTCCGTTGCGTCACATGGTTGGAGTAGGACCCTTTCCAGGTCTCGTATTCGTCCAGGCTTATATACTGGGTAGCTTTGCGAAATCCGTAATCATCACGAGGGCCGTTTCCAGAGCGGAGTTGCGGCGGCACTAATCCGGGAATAAACACTTTTTTGGAGGTCTGTCGTTGGTGTACATGATGCACCTCTTCGGCTACCGGCGATGGGGAAGGAGTGAGATCGCGCGGAGGATCTGGCATAACAGGATCTAACGAGTCGGGTTCAGGATGTTCTGGAAGTGTAGGTTCCAATGGTGTGAACTCTGGCGGGGATTCGGGAAGTATAGGCGGTATGGGCGTGGGTTCGGAATAAGTCAAGTTTGGCAAAAACAATGGATCTGCCCTTGTGTCTTGCGGCATGGTAAATTCTGGCATCGGGGGTATCGGCGGAACGTCGCTCAGCGACGGAAATTCTAGTGGGTGTACTTCATCTAAGTGTGAATCGCGTGATGGCGGAGGCGTTACTGATGGCGCTTTACTCCCTGTGTGGGATTTCGGCGAGCCAGGCTCTTCAGTCACGTCGCTGAAGCCATCAAGATACATGGAAATCGCGTCTTCCACACTCATCCCATTGTCCATCCCATAAGGCGCGTCGGGGGTATCGGGTGAAAGGTCGGTGATCGAGCTGCTCTTAGTCAGGACACTGCTGCGCTCTGTTCCGCTTGCTTGTTCAATGCTCGAGCGCCAAGTGTCGGACGAATTGACGCTTGGTCGGGGAGGATTTTCGTCGGCGGGCCCGTTTGCTGGGAAGCGTGACAGAGGCACTCCCTGGGGGCTCAAGTCCTGTGGGCGGCGCTCCATAGATTCCTGCGTCCTTGGGCGCCTATTATTCAACCTAGATGTTGACATGGATATACGGAGCCCACCTCGCGCAGGCATAGGTTTCCGATGCATCGGCCGTTCGTATTCATCTCGCGGCGCCCAATTCGGGGGGGTGGGTTTCAGGTGGTGTGGCGTATAGTTGAGGGCGACCGGGGGGCCTAGGGGTTTTCCATTCGCCTCTCGTACCCTGCGAGGGTACGTGGTGAGGCGGAGTGGGTGGCCAGGGGTATTCATGAGGGTTACGAGGCTGTGGCAGAGGCGAACGTGATCTCTGGCGATGTGTTGAGCGGGGAGAGTGAGGTGAGGACGTCGGACCGTAATTTGCAGTTCGCGCTCGTGGATCGACTAGAGACTCCAATCGCGGTGGGTGAGGAACTCTATGCCGGCCGGGAAGGTCGAAATCAGCCGAGGGAGGCGGATATCGAGTGTTTACGTTTTCTGTGACCATGGCCACGATGTCGCACCCCGTTCCCGCTGGACATTTGTTATCGCTAACGGAGAGCTATCAATCGATAATCATAGGATCTTCGGGCCGGACAAAGGGAGATTTTCAACAAAGTGGAGTGCCAAATGGTTAGAGAATGAATGAGGAATTTGGTGAAACGAAAGACAAAGGGTGAGAGACCAAATTTGGGGAGACAGCCTGCCAGAGGACTGTGGAAAAAGAAAAGAGAGAAAAGGCGCAGTTGAAACGAAATCAACAAAGTCCTGATCAGGTTTAGTGTCATGTGACGTAATATAGACAAAGGGGCATGTTTAACTACAAAGTACATAGTTATACAACATAGTATTCACAATAGAAGTGCATTGAGCCGTTTAATATGTAGTTTATACACTATATCTATTCAATTCTATAACATCCGCATTGTTCTGATCCTTGTATAAAAAACCGATAGGTCGGAAATTCATGTGTCGATCAAGAACTCTAGACTTTTATACGGAGTACTCACATATTATATAGTTACAACAACATAGTTAAACAATATTTTACACCTTTTTCATTATATTCTATATTCCGATGTCAATTATTTTTACCCTTTTAGCTACAAGACCAATAAGGGGAAACAATATATAAGGGAAAAAAAAGGCATGTAAAGGAATATCCAAATAACTACAAACAAAGACTTAAGCACCCATCAATTCTTCTATGTTACTCCATAACCCCTGAATTCTAGACCAATTGAATATCTCAAATCAATATCAATATTTGGCCCTTCCTCTTTTCATAATACCCAATTTATCTGCCCATGGCCGTGTGGAATGTACACGGGTGATTAGTCCACTCGAACCCTTCCGTCTGCGGATAGCGGATCTCAACTGTCAACTATTCCAATTCGATCTCACATTGACGTTTTCGGATCCGTTTCGAGAGTTTATTTCTCTGTCTCCCCGGAATAAGGCATGATATACCAACAGGATTTATGTATATGTGCCAGGGGAACTGCAGCAGCTGCATTATACTATTGACCGGTACCACCAGCAGTGAACCCATCTGCTCAATATGGCCATTGTCGACCCGGCGACCAAGCAATCTGCATATTACATCCGTCCCAGTAGCTGGGCAGATGTGAGTATTATTTTCAATCCCCCGCATGCTGTGAAACTGTCGCTTACTGGCGTGGTCGTTTCTATAGGGTCTCCGAGGAATTGCCGCTCTTTTTGTGGTCGCGAGTCATACCTGCCTCTCCTTTGCGACATATCTGATCCCGCCGTCTTTCGCGGAAACGGGAAACTCTATTTTATTTCAGCGACCATTCTTTAGACTGGTCATACAGGGCCAGGCCTGGGTAGCCATCTTCCTGGTGCTACTCGGGTTCGTGAATGCCCTAAAACCGCTCCAGCTAGCCCGACGAGGAGCTACCACCGATGCTCTCGCTTCGCTCTCGACAGGCGCGTTCCGTCGAAAGTGGAGACTCGTCTTCCCCGCTGCCCTGATGACAATTTTAGCCTGGCTTTTATGTCAGTTCGGTTGCTTCCAATTGGGTAGAAGGGTGGATTCATACTGGCTGAGAGCGACAAGTCCCCAACCAAGCTTGTCCTTGGGCACTGCCATCGTGGATTTGATACGACAGATAGCGGGAACTTGGATGTATGGAGAAAATGCCTACGACCAACCGCAATGGGCATTACTACCCCTTTTCCGTGGCTCACTATATGTATTCATGACCCTATTGGCTTTGGTAAATACCACGCCACTTTTCCGCCTTTGTGCTCAAATGGCCCTATACACCTATAGCTGGATAACTCTGGATGGTACGTGTGGTCATATCGCAATACTAAATACAACGCTGATAATTTATTACAGGTACTGTGGGTACGAATATTTTCGCTGGCATGATACTAGCGGAACTATCGTTTTACAACCTAACGTCGCTATGGCCACGCCTCGTCTTCAAATTCCTACCATACGGCCTCGTCACTCTGGGCCTTTATATCTGTTCGTACCCCGATCAATATGCCGACCAAACTGAATGGTCTTCGCAGCTCGCATTGCTTGCCGAAGTCATCTTCCCAAAAGATGCCAACGTCAGCCGCTACTACGCCAGTCTTGGGGCACAGATGATCTGCTTTGGGGTAATGCTTTCACCCCTCATGAGACGGATGCTCTCCCATCCCCTGCTGCTATGGCTGGGTTCGATCAGCTTCCCACTATATCTCGTCCACGGACCACTAATGCGATCTGTTCTGGTTTATCTTCTGTATTTTCCCATGTCACTTGGCTTTGAGCCGGCTTTAAGAGCAGATGGAACGCCTGACCCGGAGTCTTATATTCCAACGCCGGGCCCATTCCGACTTGGGATTATTCTGACTATGTTTTTTGTGTTCTTACTCTATGTTGTCCAACAGTGGACGAAGCACATAGAACCAAGGGTGGGTGCACTTACAGCTACCCTTGAGAGATTCTCCCGTTCATGGGGTAAGAATGCGACGTGGACTTCAAAAGGGAAAGATGAGATGCTGCCTATTGCGTCTGTCCGTGAGTTAAATGTATAGGCTCTTTATTGGGATCGTTATTGCTTCTTGGTATTTAAGAAGGTGGCGTTTGGATTTCATAGAGCTATGACACTATGTATGAATTAAGCTTCCTTCAACCTTACAATCAACATACTCGCAGCACTGGGGTCATTTATGTTCAATCCAGAATCTTGAATACAACATAAAGGATTGTCCAGACATTGGAGTCTATTTTTAAGTTATATTTCAAAAGCAGCGAAGGAGTCGTTCGTAAATTTCCATATTGTTACCAATTGCTTACTTCTCTTGCCAAAGTGCATGGGTCGGCGGCATTATGCCTTTGATTACTGGCACTAGGCTGTTCAGCCGTATGGGTTTGGTGAGGAATAAATCCATACCAGACCCAATCGCATCGCGTTGAGTGTCGGCTTGCGCAACACTAGTCAAGGCAGCAATCTTGACACAGAATGTCCTTTCCAGTGTTTTTTCAAACTCGCGAATTCGCCTTGTAGATTCCAGGCCGTCCATGATTGGCATGGAAATATCTGTCAAGGGTATTAGATTGTCAAAGCACGCTCGGGTGAATTCTTCAAGAACCTACCCATAAGAATCATACCAATAACAGAGGAATTGGTCTTGAAAGCCTCGAGGGCTTCTTCTCCATTTTGCGCAATGACATAATCGCAGTTCAACTTCTTCATGAAAGCAATGAGAAGCCTGAGATTGATATCATTGTCATCCACAAGAAGAATGGTTGCTGGAAGGTTTGATACGGGGCCAGTTCCTTTTTTGATGGTTGTATCGTGACTCGTGGTGGCGACTTCTTCAGATGGAGGAAGAGGGTCATGAACACTCCCCCGAGAGAGATTCATCGACTCGGGCGTCCCTATTGATGGGTGACTGCATGCTTCTGTGTCTACTGCCACTTTGATGGTGGGTTTGTCGCTGACCTCTCCATTTGACGGTAGACTAACAAATGAGTCCGTTTTAGGTTCATTGGTGCCGAGATTGACTGGGAAGCCTGCTGAGCCATCCGGTATGTTTTCTTCGCCCTGTGAATCAAACCGTAGCTGCTGACGATTAATACATATTTGTAATGTTTTTGCCAACTTGCGTGGTCCGCATGGTTGGCTAATGAACTCGAGCACTTGTGTATCTCCACGATCTTGGGCCCTGACTGACATCGAGTGCGCGGTCCTTGGGGACGGGCATACTACAATGACAGGCGAAGGAAATCGAGCACCTGGACTGGGCGCAATAGTCCTGAGCTCCTGGTTCCCTATATCCATATATTCGTGAGAGGATATGTATAAGTCACAGTGGGTAAATTGTTTCTGTGAAGGCCCAACTAAAAGGACTTCCATGGAAAACCAGTCTTGACACAGCTTCCGTAACGATGTGTATACAGTTGTGTCAAATCCGGAAGTTCCGAGACCTAATATCCCAATGGTCTTCGCGCATGCAAGCTTCTGCGTTATCATGGTGGGAGGGGGACTATTCAACTTGTCGAGAGCAGAAGTATGATTAAGGGTCACGGTAGCCACGACTTCAGTGCCGACATTCTTCTCGGATTTGACTTGGATATCACCCCCGAGCGATAAGAGTATTCGTCGTGTGATGTTCAAACCAAGGCCATTGCCGGTTGTCATGCTATCTTCTTGTGAGAAAGCAGTAAACAGTCCATTTTTCAGAAAATCCGGGTCAATCCCAGATCCAGTATCCTTTACAGTCACTGTGATTGCTGAGCTTGTGACCTCGCGACCGTTTCCGAATTTTGCGGGAGAGGCCTTCATAGAGATGTGGATATATCCATTTTGGGTGAATTTCAACGCATTGCCAAAGATATTCGTCAGGATGACCTGCCAAGCCCCAGGCTGTGTTAAGAATTTCCAACTGGGCCTGTGGTCAATATCCAACACCACCTTGACTCCACCCCATGCATCAGGATGTTTGCTATCCAAGGTAGAAGCGTCGGCGATATCCCAAAGAGGGGACCGTGAACTGCTAAAGAAGGAATAACCAGCGAAGACCGTTTCAATAGTGTCTTCTAAGGTAGCATCAAGTTCCACACAAGTGTCGACATCACTTTTTCCAGAGTGCGAAGAAAGGCGGGCGGCCACTTTCCGGTCGACAGGAATTCTATGAACACCGCCAACGGGGCTTTTGGCGACAGAGTTTGGTCGAACATCATTGATACTAGCATGCTCGAGGAGTTGATTGATCGAGCCTAGTAGTGTGTATGCACAGGAAGAAATCGTATGAATGAATCCTCGTTGTAGCGCGTCTATGACAGTGTCATTCAAGAGCTCCGCTGTTCCGAAAATGCCATGCAGAGGGGATCGAAGTTCATGACTGAGTCCTGATAGCAAGTCGGATTTGGCTCGATCGGCGAAAAGAGCGCCAAGTCGGTGCACTTCTGCCATGACACTAGTTCCAAATGTTAAGAGAAATGCTAACTCATCATTCGAAGTCAAGACACGGTGGGGTGCTTTTGTCCACGCCAGAACCCCCGAGTACCATCTACCCTTGTGTGAATCCCACAAAGGCGAGAAGATGATGCTTCGAGACTCGGGGGCGAGTTGAAGCAAGCTCTGGGCGTCCTGGCGCATAAGCGAATTTCGTGTCTTTTTGTACTTCTTGCCCCCAGGACGTCGCAAGAATCGTTTGATTATGCTATCACTCATATCGTCAGATGAGATGGTTCCATCTTCACCAAAATTGAAAATCTTCCCTCGAGGATATCGATGCAAAAGACCTCCAAGAAATGACTCCGATAAAGAGATTTTGTTATCGTCCATCGACTGATCATTGACGCTAGAGGCATTCGAAGTGGCAAATCCGAGTATTTCGCACGGGTTCCACGTGGCTTTGCCTGAGCTTGCAACCTGTTCTGGATCAAACATCCCTTCGAATGAACGTTGGGGGAGCTTCGAGATGTGGCCTCATCACCCGAAGAACAGCTTTCAAAACAACTACCTTCCGTGTCAGACTCCGCATTATTCACTACAGATTCCTGGGAGCCGAAATTGGCGTTGAAAAAGACAACTGCCTCAATTTCGATACTCTCGCGGATCAGATTGGCTGCACGTCCAAATGTTTCATTCACTTTGGCAGTATAATCATCCTTCGGTGATTGCTGCCTTGACTGATCATTTCCAATTGCCATGGTCGCTTGAGATGCTTCTTTGAGTTTTGATAAAGCCTTGGCATCTCTCTTGCTGGTGGTTAAGTTGGAAACTGACTGGTATTTCTCCCTATTCCCTTGTAGAGCCTTGTTTCTAGGGATGTGAAGATTGTATGGACGGAAAGGCAGGTGGCATGGTGTTCCATTCTGAGTCACCCCCTGAGTCACGTTCTGCGAAATTTGCTTCTCTTGCTGTTGCCGATTGACATGTCCCTCTTCGTGGTCTATTCCACCAGATGTGGCTTGAGGGACGTCGGTGTCGACAACCCATGAGTTGCGCAGGCTACCTTTTCCCTCCACAAAGCTTCCTAGGCCAACCATCATGCGCTCACTGCGGAAATGCTGGATTTTCGAGTGACTGGTTCCTAGATAATCCATCACTGTAGCAGCAATATCAACCAGGAACTGGAGTGACCCAGCGTCCAGGAGTTCGTGAGGTTGATCGTCCAAGATCGTATAGGTTCCAATCACCACGCCTTTCGGACTGATGATAGGGCTTGATGCGAGAAACCGAATGTTTGGGAATGTAGTCACATCTGGATGGTCCTTGAACGCGTTATCTTTGGCAAGGTCGGGCACAACAAAGACGTTGTCTCTGGCGTTTGACACATTTGGCGTAGAATTCACAACTGATCTACACAGGCTGCGGTCATATGACATAGTAGAGCTCCCGACCCAAAGCTCATCTCGCGCATTATCGTTGCAATCATTCTGTAGACTTAGGGTTCGAGTGGCTTCGGTAAGAATGTGTTCCTCCTTTCGACCGAAGAGCGTGATCAATGAACGTTGCGCATCCAGTCGTAAGGTGCCCAGTTGGGCGAATGCCGTAAGAACGGGGTCTGCCGAGGATCGAGCGACATGTAATTTTGATAGTGTAGTAGGCCCGACGTGTTGTAGTGCGTGTGGTTTGCGATGGTACGGCGGCAGATACCTGGGGAAGCAAGGGGCACGGTTAGCCTACGGGGCCTTCGGTCGAGTGTTATGGATCGCAGGGCCGATAGATAAGTACAACGTTGTGTTTACAAACGAAGGTGGTGAATTACTTATAAAATTCCCGCTCTCTGGTTGTGTCAAAGTTAACATGATACTTTTGAGCGTGTTGTGATGTGATTGGACTTGACATTGCGTCGGCAACAGGTCCGAGATCCTCAATCCTAAAGACAAAATATATGAATCCTCCTTGCAAGAAAGGGGAGGATCATCAAGAAGGTTGCGCCTTTGAGACTGCAGAAAAAAAGTAGAAAAAGAAAGAAGCTTAGCGGCACACAACCGCAACCTTCCAATCTTCGAAGGTTAGCTTGTTAAGGTTCAAACCTTGGAAGATTAGACTCGGCCTGGGCCAATAGATTAGTTAAGCTGTGACACGGAACGGGAAAGTTTGGCCAAAGCAAGCCAATCAGAGTTTATAATGTGGGTTGGCCCCACTTTGTAGATGTGTTGTGATTGGCCAAATCGGGAGTAGAAGCCATGTCCACGGGTGACTGCCCAATGTTGAGGTCTACAAGTTAGTATATGAGATCATGAAGCAGAATATGATGGTATTGTAATATGTGAGCTAGAGGTAAAATGTAGCACAAGGATGATTTTGTATCTTCACAAACAACGTCGAAATCATTTGAGGATGAGTATTTCTAGAAGCCGGAGCTTCTCAAAATACATGCGTCCCTGGGTAGATGCTAACCGGATTCTTCGCCTGTGACACGCCATGTCGGCCGAATAAACTGCTGTAGCATGATCGGATGTGGCCCCCACATCACTTCGCATTCCAAAGACAGACAGCCATCTGGCTGCTATATTCTGGGCTGTACTCAAATACACCGGCCATCCTGTCTAATTATGATACCCGTCATCGGCA